CAAACCTTCTGCAGTAGTGGTGTGAGCATGTCTGCTGCTGTTGTCTCTGCGTCTGTTTTCAGTGCTTCTGGTGGAATTCCATCTGGTCCTGCTGCTTTCGAGGATTTCAGCGACTCTATGGCGTTCAGGATTTAGACTTTTGTCGGAGGACTTGTGTTCAGTGGTAATTCTGTGACTGGGTTGCTGGTGGTATTTCTGGACGAGTTGCAGGTGTTGGTGGTCGATTCAAGAGCTTTTTGAAGTGGTCAGCCCATTGGTTCCTTTGTTTCTCCTCTTTGGTAACTAGCCTTCCTCCACTATCTCTCATTGGCTTCATCTGCATTGATCTCTTCTCAGATAGTCAGTCACCTGGTTATTTGATATCATGTTGTCTGGTCTCAGTCTCTCCCACCAGCAGCCTGTTCTGCTTCACTTGCAAGTGTGTCGTAGAAGTGTCTTTTGTCTCTTCGTGCACTCTTCTTTACTTTTTTGTCCAGTGTTTTATAGGTTGTGTTCAGGTCCTCTTTCTTTGTTCATCCTTGCACTGGTTCATCTTCTGCTTCACCACCGTCTTCTGTTTTATGCAACTGGTGAAAATGGCTACGAAAGAGAAACAAATACGCCAGACTCCTTGATTTAGAATGATGCTGTGGTGTATTAACTTTTTAGCCAACTCTGCATTTGTTACTTTACATGACATAATACCATAACAATTTAATCGAAACCTCAATAACTTGCAAGTAATGAGGGTAAAAAACGGCTAAGAGTACATATTAGGTAGTGAAAACTCTTGAAAGAGTAGCGTATTTTTTGACATGGACCCGGAAACTATTTGTGGACCAAGTTAGAACCTATCTGGCTACGAGTGGACGAATCACAGACTAATAATATGCAGCTGTTTACTGGTATACTGTAATCGCGAAACGGTGGTTATCTGTGGGCGAATGCCTTCGTGTCAAAACAAACCCACAAGACTAAAAGCATGCATTGAAGCTTCATTTGATAATTTGGCTGATACTGAGACATCTGAAATACTTATTACTCTACTTAAAGCCCCTCAGCCATAACTGTTGCAAACATCCGGAAGAAGTTGAGCTCCGAGTGGGATTCGGTCGTTAAAGCTGCATTTTGGCTCCAAGAAACTGAACTAAATCGTCCCCAAACCTAGTTGTAACATCAGTCATAAAAAACTCAGTAGTTAGATGTCAAAAATAGAAGGCTGGATGTCAAGCTTAACTTATTCTTCACAGTTGTTGGTGCTCTCACCGTTGCAGTGGCGGAAATAGTCAAGGCCACCTGGCCAAGAATCTCTTTTACACAGATTTGATGCTATGTGAACACAGAATGCTTTAGTTCATGCTGTCTTCGCTTTAGATTTACCAGCACCCAGAAATACATCCTTATTAATATTTCTGGTCGGACCCTTAGCACCGAAAACTTCTGTGGTGGTTCCTAAACTATCACACTTCCCATTTATTTGGAGGTTTGTTTGCTTGGTTTTATACACTCAAATGCAAAGTCAAACCGCATTGTTTCGTGTTCTGTGAAGCAGAGAAGGATATAAATTTCCAGCTAACGGGTTATTTGGCAAGAAGTTCCAGTACCCAGAAAGCTGTCTGGAACACCAGGAACAGCGAGCTCATTATTAAAATAATCTGTATCTGTCTTTCGGATACCAGCACTGAAGTACTTTGGGGCACCACAAATACACTGGTGAAGACTGTCGTGTTAAGTAGCACAGGCAGAACCGGGAGAATCGCATTGCGATGTAGTAAAACGCCCTCAAACGGAAGAATGTTTAGTGTGCTAGAATACTGGGCACTATGTTATGAACAAACGCACTGCTCGGGTAAATACACTTGTCAGAAAGTTCTTAGTCTAAGAACAACTAAAGTCCACCGTAATTAAGGATTTCTGAAGTTCTGCCAATAAACTTATTGCTTATTATACTTTTCACGGTTAGCCAGAAGAGTAGAAAAATTGTGCGCAAGACTACGCTTCACCCCGCGACTGCTGCCTGACACCTGACAATTTTGCTTCACCCTATGGACTCTAGGCTATGCCCTCTTGATTTTCTATAAACATATCTGAAAGGAGATCGTGCTTAAATATCCTTGCAAGTGCGTTGGCACGGTAGGTCCACTCCTTAGTCATTTTTTATTGTGACTTTTCGTGGAATAATCTCACGGTCAGTAAAGCCCTGAAACCTAATATTTGTTAGCGGACAATGGCCAGGTGGTGCTGGTTTTGGGATTAACAGTTTTACGATATTGCTAGTAAGGATACGCAACCACGTCTTATCGCTAGGTGAGGAAGGATTCCTGCCGCCAGAAAAGGTAATACGACCGTCAGCCGGCCTATCAATGGTATATATCCTGTGGGTGAACAGTAAACAGGATTCAGAGGCATCCTTGAGGTTGTCACTGTTTCATTCCTATTAAGCCATCGAACCGTCCCTATAGTCAAACGGATACCTTCAAAAACATCTTAGGTGGGGGATCTGTTCCTATGCACTGGTTATGAGCAGTCCACTGTAGAATGCTGGAAGTCACAGAGTCGATACAAAGTCTTGGTTCCGTAACGTGGGAAAACAAGGGGAAAATAACCAGAGACTTCGATCACCAAACCGGGCAAGAATCAGCAAATGTTATTTTATTTCAGCAACACTCATCGACGATGGCCCAATGAGGGCAATCAATTACTACTACTACTGCTACTATACCGAGTTAAACAAGTGTCCACGGAATACTGTGCCGCAAACCTGGCAACTGTTCTCACGCACCACTCGGAAATGGATCCAAAGTTTAAAGATAATATGGTGGAAGTTCACCAAAAATTTCCACACTGTCAAGTGAAATAGACGTTTTCGACTTATACCCTCGTCTGACATCGTAGTCTATGAGTGTCGTCACCGGACGTTGACATCAGCTCGTTAATGTCACTGAGCCAGTGAAATTAGGTAGGGACTGAAAGGGTGCCATCGCAAACGTGGTCTCTAGAGCTGGGTTTAGATAGACCTTGTAGTTCAACTTCTTTCCGTTTGCAGCTACCCTTATAGCCACACAGCATATAGAAAGAATAAAACATGGTGCGATTGTAAAACCGAGTGAACACAACAAGCTCCAGGGTAACGGGACAGCATGATATCAGGACTTGTAACTGTAGCATGGTAAACATTATGATGAAGAAAAACTGAGTCGCAACCACCGACTGAAGAGTATCTGAAGTGCGTTATTTGTACGTTATAATAGTAATTTCGACAAAGTTGCTCGACCAGGACTTGATGGGACCCTGAAATGTTGGCAACAATAAAAGGCAAGACGCCGGCTGAAAAGACATCCTTAGTGTAGGGCGCAGAAAGGCCAAGCTGAAGGAATTACTGTTCTTGTGGGAACCAGTAAGGAATTATGTACCTAAAGGTGCAGTTTAATTCTATTCCCTTCAGGTTCTGTGTCTTTGGTATCGCTATAATAGCTAAGTCAAATTCTCTTACCTCTACGTATGATGTTAAGCCTTAAAAAGCTAATAATAATAATAATGTATCTCGAATAGTGAATTATACAAATTTATGCCATTTTAACAGGCAATATCCAAATATTATTTCCTTATTGAAGCTGTAAAATTTTGGAAAGAAACATATCATCGTGGCGTACAAGGTCTTCTGGAGTAAAGCACAGTAGTGGAGGTATGTTGCCATTTTTACCCATCCGGTTCCAAGAAAGCCTGACTGTATTCAGGAGGATGCTGAGCCAAAACACAAAGTTTATCGAAATTCGAAGTGTACATCTGACCTCCATTCGAAACCATTTAGGGAAGGGGTTATAGTAACAGTTTGCATACCGCAGCTGCAAATGGCCTACCACGGATCTTTGCAAACTATAGGCTATGTTCCACTGTTAAAGAACGACATCTAAGGTGTAGTTTCTGTTTTGGACTTGGAGTGGCCAGTCAGAATGAAGGGGATCGTAAGCCATGGCCATATCCCTTTTCTTCCTCCTGCATCGTGCTGGAAGAAAATTAAGAGCGACTAAAGGATTCATATAAGGTTCGTACAGTAGCTGGGTCACTTCTATCTCAGCCCTTCTGCAAACCCCTTCTAGGATGGTAATGCCCGATTTCAAGTTCAGGGGATTTAAAAGCGAGGATTCTTGTAGATGCGGAAGAATATGCAGTGAAAAGGGCTGAGGTGAAGCTCTGTAAGTACTGATAGGAAATGGTCATAGGTGGAAATCATTGCAGGTCATTCGCCGTTGGGGTAGAAATACTTTCGCTTCAGATCATGATTTATGTCCGCTTGTGGTCAAATTGATTTTACTGAATAGTTTTGTCCTTCGGCTGATCGTTGATCTAGTGGCCTATTTTCTGAGCAGGAGCCGTATATAAATACTTTGCTTTTTGCCAAAGTCATCTTCCCTAGGTCAGTCACAGGCCCGTATTTTGTCTTCTGATCTTCGCGGCTCAGTGAAGTATCAGGTGTGGGGGAGAAGTCTAATTACTCGTATCCAGTCCAAGTGTCTCGCTGCGTTAGTGCTCGTTTTTCCCATTATTAGAACCCATGGCCTTCTCCAACCCAGTCACATCTGACATCAAGAAAGAAACTCATGAACTGCATGTGCCTAGCTGGCTGCAGGGCAACAAAAGCTCTAAGTATATCACTCCAGTTAACTCCTAGACCTTTTTCACAGTTTGAGCGAGAGATGTTTATGTCTCCTAGAGAGAAATAACTAGAATTGCACTTATATTCGCCTACAGTCGTTATCCTACGCGTCTACACGTCAAGATGTAGTAGGTTTCACATGTTCAGTTTACGATTTAATCTCGCCTCTTTAAATGTCAATCTACTTACGAACTTATTCAGTAGGAATAATAGTAAAAGGAAACACACATATATCCGAAAAATACCAATTTATTTCTTCGTGAACTTCGGTTCTCAACATAAATGCTGATCCATTGAAACATTGTTGGCATGTTACGCTACACGACTTGTTTATCCACGTTCACCATAGTTTCGCCATTGCAAAATGATTGAGGACATTGATGTATCCAGGTTAAAAGTTCCGGAACTAAGGGCTGAGTTGGGAAGACGTGGCCTAAATACTTTTGGGACAAAGCAGATCTTGATGGATCGTTTAAATGATGCACTGAAGGCGACTGCTAAACCGAACTCTGACAAGTGTCGGGCCAGTGGTATGATATTCTACGCAGTTTTTTAACTGTTTAGATTCTGAGGAACAACCTTGCAAGACGTCTCCTGATATCAGCAAACAAGCTAATCAGAACTCGGAACAAAATGGATTAGGGTCAAGTCCCATGGTGTCTCCGCGACGTAATTTTGAGAATGAGGTAAGCTTTGCACAGTCCCCTCAGCCTTGGCTGTAGGTAACAAGTGACAGGGATGGGAATGTATCTGATCAGTATCAGAAATCAGACTCGGATAATCATAAGCGTAGACGCTCACCGTCAAACTCGCCACGACGTAGGTCAAGATCACGGGATCGGGACTTTCGTCGATCACCACGCAGGCGTTCGAGGTCTCCCCAGTCCAAATCAAGGATGGTTCTGGAGCCTGATGACTGGGAAAAAAGCACTGCTGTTTTCCTCGATTCTTACAACTGTGATCTTAATCTATTGATTGATGCCAACAATTACCAGGCCAGACCGCAAACGGAAGGTGGCTTCTCACTGATGTGGGCTGGAGTAAGGGCGAATTTTGGGACAGTTTCTGGGAAGGTAAGTTGTCACTTGGTTGAATATTCCCTAGGCATTTTACGAAGTTCGGATTGTCAAGAATATTCAAGTCGAGAACTACGACAGTCTGGTGGGTGGGGCCACTCACGTGTTACGAGTCGGCTGGTCGACTGAAAATACCGACTTTGCTCTAGGAGAAGAGGCACAATCTTACGGTTATGGAGGGACAGGTAAAAAGTCATGTAACAATAAGTTCACTGACTACGGATGCGCATTCGGAGAAGGGGATGTAGTTGGTTCTTTCATAGTAAGTTTCATACTTAGGTTAATAATCACTTCAGGAATGGACAAACACTGAAGCCGTATTGCGGTTTAGTGTGAACGGCGTAGATCAAGGGGAGTGCTATCGTGTTCAAAAGTCTCAGTTGGGGGAACGTTTCGCTTTGTTCCCGCATGTGTACGTGAAAAATGTCGAGTTTGCCTGTAATTTCGGGCAAGATAGTCAGTCTCCTTGGTTTAATCCAAACATTCCCGGGGTAAGTTTTTAAGTTTATTGGAGTAAAATAGTGGCTGAATGCCTTAGATCCTGCCGGTAAATAGTTTTCTCAATGGTTTTTCTATTTAGAGTTTAAGGCCAATAAGCAAGTCGAATTGCAAAAATATTTAACGATGCACACTGTCCATGTTAGTGTCCGTAGCATTTCAGATACTACAGTTGGTAGTGACAATCGTCATTACTACAGCCGACCCCCTGACTTATCAGTGTGGTAGTTCTGCACTGATTCGCAGTGGATTTGCGCGTCTCAAATGTTCCGCACTGCTCATTATATCATTGATATGTTTATGGGCAATAGTTCAAACATGGGTCGTCTCAGGTAAGTTTTACTATCACTTATGTATCCAGTAAACTAATGAAACACGAGATGCCTTACTTCCGTCCGACAGTTTACCCTTTTGTTTCTTAACTACACCAGTCTCGTAGTCGTAGAAACATAAAATTGATTGTCGGGGTCCACACTCCACTTTGCTATACTTGAGTTTAGTGCGGCTGTGGCTCTGGTACGGCGAAACAGCTACCAACCACTCGCGTTACGGGTTCAAACCTTGGTCCACCCACCGTGGTTTAGGCAGCCAGGTAGTGTCAGTGGCCCTCGCACGATAGGCGACTCGTTGCCTGCTGCACGAGTGTGTACGAGGTAGTACGAGCTGAGATCCCTTCATTCATGCTTTAGACCAGTCGAACATGAAGGATGAGAAAAATTTACGTACTGTAGTAGTTATATAAGCACTATGATCGGTTCAGATGTTCACTAGCTCCTTAAGAAACGTGGAGAAACTGCAATAAATCCTAGGGAGTGGACTGTTGAGAGCACAACGCTTGCAAAGTAGGTTTCAAACCGCGTATCAACATGGTCTGTAACGTATCCTGACAAATCCAGGTGACTGCCAAGCTACGCGAAAGTCCCAGGCGAAAGCGCAAATTATTTCAGAGCGGTTCTGGTGGCCATGGCATAAATGGAAATCCTGCGAAACACTTGGTCTTGCCTCCGAAATTCATTATCTGTATGTTTACCGTCATCGTTTTTCAGATGATCCGTTATCGTGGCAGCTTATAAACAATCTCCCGTTATCCTGTCGCATACACGGTCGCTGTCCACCACAATCAAAATCAGAATGCGATGTCATTATGATGGTGGGTCTTCCTGGAGCAGGCAAAACATATTTTGCTGAACGTTACATAGCTGAGCACCGCGAGAAGCAATATAACGTGTTGGGAACCAACCTTATCCTGGACAAGATGAAGGTAGGTTCACACCTGTTATCTATTTAAGCCATATCTTTCCATGAGGGACAGACTGGTATAGTAGTTCTTGTCTTTCTTTGCTTCAGGTCATGGCGTTGCTCGTCAACGTAATTATCATGGAAGATGGGATGTTTGATTGATAAGGCAACCAAGTGTCTAAATACACTTATTGGTGTGGCGTGTATGCGCCGTCGGAATTATATTTTGGATCAGGTCAGTTATTACTTTTCATGCTAACATTTAGTATCTGTAGCTTCTATGCGGACGAACCAAGCGATTTAAGTGTTTTTTGATGTAAAGCTTCCATGTTTTGAAATTACTGTGAATTATGTAGGGATTTATTTTCAGTATGTACACTAAGTTGAAAGCTTATCTGGACATACATGTCCAAAATATTTGAAAATTGAATATAAACAATCTTTATTACACTATATTGATATTTGTTTGTTAGAATTTTTTGTTAGCACCTGTACCAAGGGACCATATTCAGGCACTGGTCAAGCTACACTGTCCTAATCCGGCATACGAAAGCTTTTGGCTAGTTCGCTAGAGACGATGGTCTTCTTCAACAGGTTCTACTGCAGTAGACTGATTGGCGAAGTACATGTTTGACATGTATAATTTTGTCCGAATTTACATGCAAGGTACCTTACTTGCTTTGCATTTTTGGTATGTACCTTGCAACTGGATTTGGTCCATCGTACAACTGCGCACAATTATCTATTCCTGGTGGTGGCACTGATATAACTTCGTTTTTTCTCATTCGCTCGGTTCTATCTCCCAAACTTAATCACAGACGAATGTGTATCCGTCAGCACAGCGCCGTAAAATGCGTCCATTTGAAGGTTTCAAGCGAAAGGCCATTGTTATCGTACCTACTGATGAAGAATTCAGGCGGCGAATTGCCCAACGGGAAAAAGAGGAGGGCAAAGAAGTGCCTGAAACTGCAGTTCTCGAAATGAAAGGTAGTTTTCTTTGTTGGAAATGGTGGTATAAAGTGCTGCAAGTTTTCCTTGGATTTACTTTTAATGCATCAGCGTTCTATTTTATACTCCAGCCTACTGATTGGTAAATCGCATTGTACTATTTTGATGAATAGCTAGGTGCTTTCTGCAATGTTTGCATTCATTGAGCATTGTGTATTTGCCATTTGACTGAACAGAACTAGAGTTCTGTGACTTAGAGTGAGCATTAATTATGCATATTTTCCTCATTGAGTGATTTGTTTATCAGATTTATTAGGATATTTAGTTTTATTACCAGCTAGACTTGTAGGTAGATAAAGTTAGCTAACATGTCCAGAATTTAATTACTGGTTATCAGAAAAATAGACAAAGTTCAGCCAGTTTTTTAGTAAATGTGCAACCCTCAATTACTCGCACCAAAAAAGTAGGTGATGTCAGTCAGCTTCACGTCGTTTTCAAGCGTTCGATGCTTATCGGTTTAACGTGTGCTGCTTCAGCACGTGGTTCGTATTTCAGTTGGTGCGAATAGTTGTGGGTTGATTTTTAACCTTTTGATATACTTTTGTTACTTTTATGTTTATTATCCTAAATCATTTCTGGGTTTCGCTCAGATGCGAACCATTCTAAATTGAAACAGTGCAATTGCTATGAGTCCAGCCACTCACGAATTACAGGACCTGTGGTGGCGTTCATTCATGATCCAGGTGGAGGGCTTTGTATACCGTAGCAGCTGGATATTCTAGGGAATGTGGGAATCATGCATATTAGTAAATCAGACGTCACCAGTCAAAACTTGAAACATATATCATTGGTGACAGTAAATCTGTTGCGATTCGTCTGCATGAAATATAAACGATAAGTCCAAGCCACTCACTTTGTTGGTTTACATATGCTTCTCAGTCAATAGATTGTTTTTTAATTCGATTCAAATTACTTGGAATTTTGTAGCAAACTTTGGCATCCCTAGACCCGTGTCTGAAGATCCCTCTAGCGTTTTTGACGAGGTTATTTTCATCGAGCTTGGTCTAGATGATGCTAAGACCTTGGTAACGCAATATAATCAGGAGGGGCAAGCGAACAGACAACCTCCAGAAAAACGTCAACGTTGGGATGGTGGCAATCGTGACCGAGATGACTCACGAAATTCGCGCTTCCGCGGACGAGATAGTCGAGATAGAGGTCGAGATATGGGACGTGGGCGACGTGATGACTTTCGAAGCTCTCCAGGTCGCCGAAATGATGACCGTGGCCGTCGTGACTACAGGTAAATAGTGATATTTTAGGTGATAGATATTGAGTTGTGTGTTTCTGTACCTTCAACCGTTTTTTTTGCTTTACAGGGGCGGTTACAATGCTTCACGTGATCGCAGTCGTGAAGGTGATCGCTTTGATCGCAGTAAGTAGTTTTTATGTTCATGTGTAATACATTTATTTAGAATTTTGCGTGTGCATAAGAATTTTGCTAATTTAAAGGTTTTGCCTAGTGCTTACGCATTTGAAGGGCGCTTATATCTGTTTTAATACCTACTGATGTCTTACAGATAATGATCGTGAATCTTTTGGACGTCAATCTGGTGGCAGATTGGCGGTGGCCCTCCAGGTGGCCGTTTTGGGCCTCCACAGAACCGCGGATCTTTCCCTGGTGGGATGTCTGGTCCAGGCGGCTTCGGAGGTTACGATGGCTCACGTGGTAATATGATGAGAGGTCCTGGGAGAGGTGGCTTCCCTGCACCCAATTTCGACTCGCGTGGAGGGCGGGGTGCCTACCGTGGTGCAATGGAGCGGGGGAACACCAGTGGTTATGGAGGGCCTAGCGATTCAGTGTACGGGCAAGCTAACACCGGTGATGAAGAACCAATGGGCAGTGCATATGGAATGAACGACGGCGCAGCTCCAGCACTTCCCCAGCCATCGTACGAGAGTAAGTTCTACCATTGCCTTTGCCCAAACTTGCTCTGAGCGTTTCCACTACTGATAACATTCTACTTCTATTTCAGGTGGCCCAATGAGTGGTGGTTTCCGTGGGGGGTATGCTGGTGCCGGTCGTGGTGCTCAGATGCAAGGGCCTAGAGGGGCGCCCAGCCGGGGTGCAGCGCCCATGGGACGTGGAACGGGTGCTTTGGGGCGTGCAGCAAATACTGATAGGGGTGTTGAACGAAGTCAGCCAGGGCGCAACGCACCAGTCACTGGTCGCGGTGGGCCGCAGTCTGACCGTGAGATGGGTGGTGGTGGGTTTCCCGATGATAATCAACAATATATTTATTCTGGCGCGGAGGGCTATCAGAATGCCCCTGATGAACTATATTCTGGTCCTGCCAATGAAGATTACCGAAGTCGACGTTTTGGTGGAGCCGGTCCGTACGGCGCGGGGTCTATGCAGAAGCCGCCTACTAGTAATTATCCACCCTATCAAAGAAACAATCCTCCTTTTCCACCTTCAGGTCCAACGGGGTATCCGAATACAGCCGGAAGTGGTAATTATGCAAAAAGCAACGCACCTCCATACGGAAACCTTAATTCTGGTCCGAATTATCCAAATTCATTTTCCGGTGATCAAAGTAGCTTTGCGAACGCTGGTGCTGACCCTTATGGTGGTCAGTCCGGGGCAGACAGATCTGGAAGGCCTGGTATGCATCAAAATCCAAGTGCTTCCTATGGAGGATCTCATGGATATGGTTCGAATGACCCTGAGAAAACTGGTATGTCACAAAGCGAACATCAGAATACGGAAGTATCTAGCTTGTATGCAGCTGGCGCAGCGCGTTACTCTGATAGTCGTCCTCCTGCTCCAAATATGCCACAGGCACCCAGGCAGTCACGTTTTGATACGAAACCGGAAGGTAGTGCTCCTGCCCAACCAAGTGCATATTCTACTTATAGTATGGGATCTAATTACACCAGCGGATACACAGGCGGTTTTGCATCCAGTACAAACCAGAAAACGGCCCCTCTTCAAGCCTCCAATCCTTCTGGTGGTCCCAGAGGTGGGCGCAGTCGTTTTGACGTAGGTCCACCTGCTGCCCAATCTATACCATCTGTAACTGCTGTTCAAAGCACTCTCGCAGGCAACGTCTATAACCCACCTGTTCCGTCACAGTCGACTAATCGACCGCAACCTCAAGTTCAACAGACTCAAAATTCAGCCCAAGTAAGTCATGACATTATTTGTACACGCTGCGCCTGTGCATATTTCCATGATCGTCTGTTGATGAATTAATATGATGACACCTTATACTATTCTCTTACCTAAAGTTGAAGAATACTCATCCTTGCTCTGAATATCTTCACCTACTATTTTCAACATAAAGCTGAAACCCATTTTTCTTTTAGGCTCAACTACAGGGCTATGGGTATGGTTATTCAACTCAAAGTGCTAAACCGGATCCTGGTAATAATCCAAGTGCACCTCCGCCTGCCAGTCAGTCATATGGAGCTTACAACTATGGTTATGGGTATAATGCGTATGGGACTCAAGCCGCACAAGCATCTGCTGTTAGTCGACCAACTGCACCTACTACTGGTTCTACTCAATCCCTGTATGCCTCTGCTGTTGCAGATAAACCTCAGCCGACTCAGCAAGCAAACACGCCAGTCGCCTCTTCTATGGTTGTTACTACCACTACCACTTCTACTGCATCCGACCAGTCAGCGGCTGCGGCCTACGCCTCTTACTACTACGGGGCTCCTCAAAGTGCTGGGGTTACTACTCAGGGGGCAGGGAAATACGATGCAGCTATGGCTGCAGCACAGCAGTTTAATGCTTGGCAACAGCAACAACAACCATCAGCGGTTTCCGGCAGTGTATCAAGCAGTGTTCCAAGTGCTCCAACAGCAACAGTGACACCACAGACACCGTCTGTCAATCCATATGCAAGTTATTATCCTGGGTATTCTACTTACCCGTCAAGCTATGGCACTATGCCTGTTGGTGGAGTCCCTCCGGGTACAATGCCAACTGCTCCAGCACCGACGATGGGTCAGTACTATACCGGATACCGCTAGAACTTGAACAAACTAAAATTCCTCGTCTTATACTTAGTTATGTCTTGTTTGGTATGTCTCACATCTGCTTTGTGCTTTTATTGTCCAACACATCCTGTCCATTATGCACAAAAGTGTTAGAATTCATTTATTAAAAATCTTTTTATTATTACAATGGGGATCGCAGAGATTCGTTTGGCTGCCAGTATATAGGTGGTGTATTAATATCTGTTCTCCATGCGAGCTCTTTCCATGTTGGAAGTCTACGTGAGGTCTGATCAAATGAGTTGTTTCCCTGTTCTTCACCGACTTCACTGTTCCATTTTTCACGAAATCGTTCCCATTTTACGTCATCCGCGCTCGCAGTAAGAAAACGACTTTCATATGCGATTGAAGCTTCCAACCGACGCAGGTCACACCAGCATACGTAATCCTGCAAATAGAAAAGGTTTGTTGGGTGCATTTAGACCTGTAATAGTTTTCTCATAGGCACACGTGAGTGATGTGAAAATTACTCCTATTGTGAATGTAACACTAATCAGCGGTTCAACATTGCAAGTCGCTAGTATGCTAATGGGATTTCAAAAAGAACGTGGATAAGATTTTTACTAACCTGCATCCAAACATGGTTGAGGCTTCTTTCCACAGAGAATCGATTTCGTAAACGTACTTGTAACAAATGTGTTATAAGATGTATAGCTTTAAATAACAGCATAAGGTTTATGTGCGATTCTTACCTTCTTCTGAAATATTGTCCCATGGGTCACTCGGGTACATGAAGTCCGCATTTTCGATCTGCTCAGCTATATCCTCCTCTTCGTTGAATGGGAAGGTCCCACTGAGACTGAATGTGATTAATAGATATTTAGTGTGTTTAGATATGGTTACCTTACGTAGAGGATCACGCCGACAGACCACATGTCTATCCCTCGGTTGTATCCACGATTCTTTAGCACTTCTGGAGCTGAAGATTGGGATAAATTTAAGAGTTGGTTACTAAAGCAATTGTATCAACGTTTTATCATGTCAGATCCGTTTGTTCCACTGTGCGATAGATAAAGGGTTTCCACTTCTGTATGTCTCTTAGCATCCTTGCGTTATGAAACGGGGTTACTTCCGACGTGTCAATCTTCAGACGCAAAGTATATGAAGAATCGAAACCCACGGACGGGGTTATTCTTACTTCCGTAATTATCAGTACATCTTGGTTAACCATATTTTTTACAGTAATTAAATTAAACTCACCTAGGTATGCGGGCGTCCCCACTATTGACCTTCTGAATGACTTGTCACCTATGATGCGTGCGAATCCGAAATCACAAAGTTTAATCTGGGGAAATTGTTGCGCGGTGTTCTGAAAATAAAAAGAATAAGTTTGAAACATATTGAGGGTTTCTTGCTACCTCATTATTACTGTAGACAAGAGTGCAGCCTTCCACATGAAAAAACCACATCGGTTAGTAAAGGATCGTCAATCTGTTTATCATTTGTCTCTTGGTGATTGGTTTGTTTTCACCGAGGCGCTAATATATGATTAACCTAGAGCTGCCAATGCTAGAAGTAGAGATCAGATCTTTCGTACAAAACGTGACCTAGAAGCCTGTTTGTGGAGGTAAAGTTTCGGTTCTCAGCTCATGGATAGGAAAGATAATGTCTGAAAAATCTAGCAAGTTTCGCTTACCTCAGTTACCTCAGGCAATCCCAAGTTGTTCACATCTCTGTGTGGTGGTATAGCCAACAGTACGTTCTCTGGCTTAAGATCACAGTGGACTATGCTTCGTAAATGCAAGTAACGCAGAGCGATAAGGATCTGCGTTACCAAGTATTTGGTGACCCTTTCTGTCAGTCTTCCTTGAGGTGATCCGAGTATCATTTCCAACATATCACCGGCCAGTTTCTCCATAACCACGAATACCTACAATGCAATAATCGTAATTCTAGTTTATGCATGGCATTATTTGTGTCAGGAACCCAGATAATTTAGTTTTAGTCTCAAAAAATGTAGGACACAGGTATTGTTTTTTTAATTCTAATAGGCTACAGAATGTTTCGCGCTGCAGCTGATCGTTTGTGTATACTGACTACTGAAATGGGAATAAAAGTTATGTGTAACGCCTTTGGTCACATTGATTGCTACAGCTGTGCAGCGTTTTACTTTTTTCAATTCTGATGCCTTCTGTTAGTTACTGTGTTGAGTTCTTCACCTAAACCGTTTTGCCTCTAAGCTTTTCGAAAAGTGATAATGATATGTTCTCCTTGCTCGTGTCATTACTGTGTATTGTTACCATTGAGATTCTTATCTAAGTAACCGCCCTCCACTTCCAGAGCGTGATTTAGTCTTAAACTTGCTATACGTTTCTCCACAATTTTTGGTGCTAGAAGCACTGTATCACGGCGTGACTCTCCTCGTTTATAAGGCCAGACGCGAGTCATTAACTCAATGTCAAAACTGTTCATCCTAAATAAGGTTTACAGTGAAGTATGAGCATAATGGTGTTTCGTTTCCTGGATCTTGGCATTAAATATACTACAGATGGTATATTCATAGGAATGACTGCGTTTGACATTCGAAAGCATCTGCCCTAAATGCTGGTTAGGACGCTGTTCAGTTTCGTGGGATCACTGCGCTCAGAAGACAGTCTTGAGCCAGAAGTATCCATTGTTGAAAGGCGTTTGTATGGTAGTGGTTATCTGCAGACGTTCATCGAAAAACCATAGGAAGAATGGAATATAGTGTAGTAAAGAAAGCTGTCTTGTTTACAATTTGTTTTTAAGGGTAATGAAATTCTACTAGGATCCATCGTCGACCTAGTACTGAATTAAATAAGAACGTACATGGCTGCTACACTGGACTGCACCAGACTAATTATTCGTTATACCAATCGGAAGTGGACAATTTCCACTTCCTGTTACCTCCAATTGTTTACACTCACCACAGCATTCTCTTTTTAGAAGCACCGATATTATAATCTTTATTCGCATTTTTGAACACGTCCACAAGAATCTAAGATAAAGGGGTCCACGTGCACTGAGCAGCGTGATGGGACGTCGTCTGAGTGGAATTTGACAATGTCGACGGTCTCAAATCATTTGAAGTGATTAAGAGTTAAAAAATAACCCAGTTGTTTTACTTTTTACCGGGGCGACCGCCATCAACAGGCAAATTAGGTCTGTTTAGAAGCACGGTTGTTGACCTTGAGCTGCCGCGGTAGATTGTTTGCAATAAAATGTGTTCAGACTTTTGTTACGTCACTTTGAGAAAAAGCAATAACCCGAAAGGAGTATGTTCTTTTCAGTGAATTCCTATCAAATTCTACAGTTATAAAATGCATTTGTACAGCGTAAAAGTGATCCAAGCTAGAGTCAACTACATTTTCAAAATGTAGCGAGATTTGGGATTGTAAGAAGATTTTTGTTTTTAAATTTGTTGGTAACAGGATGGCATATATAGGGTGGTGTTAGAAAAAATACAACGAATAAGTGACATTTAGTCCATTGAAGGTTAAAGGAGAAAACGTGTGAATATGATCTTCCTGAATGCTTAGTTCAGGTTCGATCAGTCCTATTACGGCATCCTCAGCCATATTGAACAAGTCAAGCTACACTTGGCATTGTTATAGAAGTCGTTAAATGTTTGGGGTTTTGCGTCACTTTCTACATATTTTGTCATATCGTCCAATATTACACGTTTTGTTCTGTTCCCATCCTTAGTATTCTGTCTAGACCTCTACTCACCTTACTCTTCAACCTATTACAAATCTGCTGTTTTCTGAAGTTGGACAATCTATTGGTAATTTCCTTTAATCTTAATTTTCGCCTTCAAGAGCGTTCACGTGGTAACCCTATAAACAGTTACTCTTCCTCTCATATTCGTAACGTTGTTCTCCACTTTAATCGTTTATATTATCTATGGTACCAGTTGATCTTGTCAGTAACCTTTTTTCAACTTGTTCAAAGTATTTTCAGTCTTCTTTATTTGTACATTCTGAAATTACTTAGGTTGTAAGCAGTTGAGAAGAATCGAAATAGTAAAAATGAACTCATTTTACTGCTGCATTGGTTTTACGAAGAGTGTAGTTGTGGACTGTTATTCAATTAAGTCTGTGCAAACGCTTTACTTATTGTGTGGAGTCTGAAGCATTACACCGAAACCTTTTGGAGTCTTTATGCTTCATTGGGATATTCTGTATTGTCTTTTGACCAGCTTTGTTCCTCTCTGTAAACTTGGAATTCGTATTCTGTTAAAATAGTCTGCCGACCGACTAATATTAGTTGTGGTCGGTGTTTATTACTACTCCATTTTGCTGTTGTTTACCTGTCTAGTTACTAAGGAAGTTGAATTTGTACACACTGTTGGGGTTTGTTCATTATTTTTAGTCCGATAAAAGAGTACTGCTTACTTGATAGCATGCCGGTCCAGTGCACTGTCAAAAGCCACGAAAAATATGTCACAGGATGGTTTTTATCCAGTGAATCGGATCTGTAATGGTAGGTTGCTAGATGATGTAGATATTCCGATTGGCATTCAGCAAGTTGGCCGCATGACGGCACGGTATATAGGCCCAAGTATATGGTCTATTTATATACTTGTTTGTAGCCTAAGTAATGGCGCATTGACAAGCTACGTACTTATTCTCATTTATATCTACAAAACATCGTGTGTAGTGTTACAACTTCATAAGTGCGATGGTTAGACCCAATTTTAATGAAGGAGACTAGATCATCAGATGAGACTAAGTCTAGGTTGTCTGGTGTTTGCGTTACTTCCAATCAGCCACTAGTAATTTTAACTATCTTGTTGCTTAGCATATGAGACTGGATTTCGGGCAGCCAGAGTTAGGAGTTGAGTCATTGACCCTTATTTTCAGTAATGTGCTGGGTTGTGGGCTTCGCGATTTGAGTTGACAGAAGTGAAATCCACTGTTTGAACAAACATTTTTGATTATGGTAGTGGTGTAGATGCACTCAGTATCTATCATTGCATCAACCATAAACCTACTATTCTACACGCACTTACTTTCCGTTAATTCATGTCTTTTTCCTTCTGTGATTCTTCTTACTGTTCTGACATTTTTCATCTTGATGTTTTGAGGGGTGATGTTGCTGAAGCTAGGACATACTAATGGCAGTTTGTATGTTGTGTACACTGGACTGAAACCTAATAATGCAATCGAACTTAAGTCGTTACATATATCGCCGAACCAAATACTCGTTTTAAAGTTCAAAGTTTGTATCCAGTTACAGTGGATTTTCAATTATGAGGCTTCATGGTTATTATAGTTACATCCTATAGTACCTGACGTTTAAACCGACTAGGTGAATGAACACAACTAAACTGACAAATCTTACCTTACCCATTTCATAAATATGAAAAGTAGATCAAGAGTAGTATGTTGATAATAGGATCTTGGCACACTGGCATATATGTCGGCGATTGACGCTTTGTATCTCAACCTAGAGACGTTCAACTCCATGAATCGAGAGGTTTGATGTCAGTGTTCACGACTGACAAGAATACCAGGAACATACAATACCTTACTGAAGTCTTAGATGAGAACTCCCATGGTTATCTTAGAGTCTATGATGGACAACCAGGATGTTTATCTGCTTCAAGTGTTCATCAAAAATGTTCATTTTAGCTCTACTTCAGCTTATGAATTTCATTCTTCGTTTGACCTAACACAGATTGGTCTATTTACAGGATACGCTAGTTGACGACATACTCCTACTAAGAGGAGATGCTGAGTTTCCTGCTGATTGAAGTGAAAAATCTGGTCAGAAGTAGGACCTTGTAGCTCAGTTGTTACAGCACGGGGCAGGAAACGGCAGTCGCTGGTCCGAATCCAGCGGCTGCCCAAGTTTCCATTTCACCTTCAGTCAGCACCGACTATGAATACTAGTCTACCAAACCACGGCTATCTCATATAGTGAAGATGATAATCACATGTTGTTTGCTTCCGTCTCTTCATTTTGCGTCATTTGACTTTCTAAGCATTTCTTAATATTCTGTCTTGTTCCCTTCTATTAAGATTGGGTGAAGTGAGATATGGGAACTCGTGTTGTTTTTGTAATACGAGGTCTTATGTTGACATTGACTGATAATAAATGACAGGTTTCAAATCTGTGTGGCATAGAATTGGTTTGTTGAACAGTTTTTTTCTCTTTTGATCATCTGTCATGAAGCTACTTACGGAGTGTTTCTATATGGTGATTTTAATCGCCATATTGATCACATTTACGTTGATGTCTAGTTTTTTGTCCTAACAGAAAGCGGTTCAACTTCAATTATTATTATTATTAGTCCCTTGGGTTCCTAGTGGAACATAGGGCTTCAGTAGCACGCCTCCAGTGACCTCTGTTCTGTCGTGGGACCAGGTTCAACTTCAATACTAAACGTTTTTATATCAAGTAGGTGACCATATACTAGTTTGTTTATTAAATAATCACTCTTCAAATTGTGTGATCATTACTGATACTGTCTGTTTGACCCAAACTCGGTTGGCGGAGTGTATTCTGAACTTATAACCCACTGGGTGCGATCCCTGGAGGGGTCATGGATGGGCAATACTGAAGACGAAACAGTTGTCCAGTGCTCCCGGGTTTCCAATTGATGTCAGTCTATGATGGATACCAACCTGAAATCAATAAATAAATCTCCGCAGACCTCCAAAATAAATTATGACTCACTGGTTGAAAACTGCCTACTCAATCAAGACATAATTCTTCATGATGCTGTGGATGTTGCATTCATGGTTTCATTCAGAAATTGGTTCATATGTGGGGGTGATTGTCATGTGATCGGATTAAAACTTTCTTTATCATGTCTATACTCTTGGCAGTAGTCATATGTATGACTAATTTATTCAATTTAACCAACAAATTTTATCTTATGCTTATTTTGAAATGATATTTTCTGAGAATAGAAGTTTGCGTAGATATGAAACAGTACGGAGTTATGACAATACAACAGAGTAATTGCTGAATCAGAATTAATAATCTAACTTCATTTTACGTTCACTCAGTCAAGGTATACACCTTGTCTGAAAATAAGTCAATTGTCATGTATTTGGTTGTATTCATATCTCTGAATTTTCTAACTTACTCGTTTTGGAGTTTCAAACATTCTTTCAAGGTTTACTACCCCAGGATGATTGAGATTCTACAAGAATAAGGGAAAAAGTGAAGTTTTTAGGATAGTTTTCACCATAGATTGATATCAATTAGAGACTAACAGAAAATACTAGGTAGCTGTGTGGTTCTGTTCTATGGTGCGTACGCAAAAGCGCATACGGAATTGAGTGTAGAACCGTCAGATCTGAAAGCACAGTCATGGAATACAATACATTTCCCGACAACTATCAATTTGTTCTATAATATTCTGTATCGTAGATACTCATTGTTGATGCAACTGAATCAAAAAGCCATGACTTTTCATTCAAATGATGAGGGAATTTTCATATTCGCTTGAATATGATAACTGTTTAACTCAACAGAGAAATATTAGAAAGGACTGGTTAACAGCAGAGTTATCCTCCAGGTTTCTAAGTTGTAATATATACTCCCTTTCAGCAAGTTTTGTTTGATATCATAGTTTTTTTCATTGTTGATTGGTTTTAACTGAAATGATCAGCTAGTCTAGCTGACGAATCAAAATGGGTTGAAATACTAGTCCTGGATCACACTACTAGCCATCACTCATCTTTAATATAGAAAAGAAATCACTGACTATATCGAGGCATTCTTACAGGAACTCGTATATCGATAGTATCCGACCAGTTTGGTCCAAACCAAAGAACAACGGCGAATAACAGGTCTTAATATGATCTAGTTTAGTTTATAAAGACTATCTGGGGATATATGAGCATGCTTCCAGCCTTAAAATTTAATCATAACTCTTTTATATACACATATCTTAACTGTATCAGTTACATTCAAACAGATACTTGCTTTATATCTAATTCTATTCTATGCTACAGTAATACATGTTTTCGGCAATCATTTCATGTTGCCTTCGATCTCCCATGTTACGCGGACGTCAGTGATTAAATTTTTCATGAAAATAGACCTTGACAAAAAAGTTGCAGAAACAAGAGTTGTTTAACTGTCGAAAAATTTTCATAAAGATATACAAGAAAGTGGAACTAGGTGGTTCAACCAAGAGGCTCTTTTCAGCGACTTCACTTACTGAGTTGTGCGGTCGCATTTATACACAATTTTTCGGTGAGAATGTACGGTTTGTTTTATACGTGAAAGCAGTTTGCTAAGCATAGCAGCAAGCAAAGTAGTACATCTAAAATCGAGTGACGGCCATCCTAACAACCAATGAAACAGCTAATTAGGTTTCTTTGTTTAATGAATAATTTATCTTTTCAGTAAAAACAGAGGAATTCCATTTATTATTTCAGCGGTTTCTAGGTTTGCCTTTGTAGCTAATAGAAAAATCGAATCATCATTTTCATCCGCAAATAGTGAATACGTTTATGAATGTTGAGCGGTAATCCCTAAGCAAGGTGACAAGAAAAGCCAAATTGTTATGACCCGAAAATTCAAACTAAGGTTAATGAGTATTGCTCATGATATAATCAAAATTTAGTAAACATGATTAAGTTTGGTGAATGACATGACAAAATATTTAATGAATGGATTGTTATCAAGGTGAGTATATAGAAACAAAGGATAATTGATATTCATGTAAGAAATGAATAGAATGAAGGAGTTTGAAGGAGTGTGATGTCTCGAAACGCTAAAGATTAAGACCATGAAAAAGGAAGGGTTGAATAAATCAACATTTCTACTTGAGTTAATAACGTTTCAGCAGTACAAAGAAGGCGGATAGGCATTGAATTCTTAATTATACCCCTTGCTACTAGCATCCGACTCATTTACAGCCCAGATGCTATAGGTGAGCAGAAGCATTCTAAAAAAAGTTTTGATCGGAAATGGATATCAACTTTGATTCATAGACAAAAGCATCAAGCCCAAACCCAGAAGACATTCAGTTGCTGTATCGAAAATGATGCTGCATATGAACCTTGACTTCTGATATCCTAAAAATAAGGGTTTCTAGCTCCCTGAAGAGAACCTTTGCGAAGCAACTATGGGAGAAGTGTTCTCTAATCACCCAGTACTTCACAACAACCTGCAAGGCAAGATTTCTCATCTACGTCACCTATATGTGCGTATATCAGTCCGCTTGCTTCTCTGGAGCTAGGTCTATCAGTCAGTTGGCACGCATCCTGTTCAAAATGGTTGAGTAACATTGACCTGCGTGTCTACAAAAAGGTGACAACGGATCTTTAACCAAAGCTATAACGGAACACCCTGGGAAAAAATGTCGATTCAGTCTCAGCAACGACCTCTTACACAGTTATTTACAAAGTGTAAAAAACTTGGTGAAGTCAGTGGATACACAACCGGTGGCTGCTACCTTAACCTGGTAGTCAAGCTTGTATACCATAATGATCAAATAACCTATACTTGTGGAACACTTCGTTCCTTGAGATCTTACCATACGAAAAAGGTCTGTCGGATAGTAGTAAGACCAAAAGTCGTTATATTTATGGAGCTAAATTATGGAGATCCGAAGGTGAAGTCATACCGCCGGTTGGATGGAGTGTGACAGCAGTATTGTTTCTCCTCTGGGTAGCCAGCGGAACTGTGATGTTGTCTTCCGCATGGGAAAAGTTGAACGGTTAGAGAAGGTCTACACCAAATATCGCAAACTCCTCTTTCCCCAAGAGTATTCTGGGTATTTCTGGTTTCTAAAGAGAAACTTAAGCCTCAGACTCCCTAAAAGTCCATGTATATCCGAACTGAAGTATGTGTCGCTTTAGCTTTTTTGTCAATCACCACGACTACTAAACTAGTTTTTTCTCGTGCACGTAAGAAATAATTAACCTTTCACGTTAGAGAAAGCCAAAAAATGTCAGCCTACTTCGCAAAGACGTCAGGGTTCAAGTTCCCTCAGATCATTATCAGCCAGAATTGTGATACATGAGTTTGTGTCCTGAACACCAAAAGTTTGCTGAAATCGGCGAAAGCAGCAGAACCAGATGGAATTCCACCACAACCACTGAAAACAGATGCAGAGACAACAGCAGCAGACATGCTCACACCACTACTGCAAAAGCTTTGCAAGGAAGGAAGGCAGGAAGGAAGGAGAGAAAGGTACCTGCCAACAGATTGGAAGGAAGACTATCTTGTCAGACTCCCAAAGAAGGTGGACGTAAGCCTTTGCAAGAACTGATGAGGAATCATATCCACACTCTATCCACACCCACCCAAGCTAAAAATTAGGCCGCATCATTCTGGAGAGACTGAAGAATCCTCTGCATTCAGAATTACGACCAGAACAGGCTGACTGGCTGGCTGTCAACTAACCAACGAAGCAAGAACCCATCACCCAACAAATATGCAGAATAAAGTGGAGACGGATTGGATTGAGTATACACTGAGGAGACCATTCGAGGGCTAACTTTTTGTGCTCTGTTACTCTAATCGACCCTGGTCGACTACTCTCACCTGTGTATTTGACCTCACAATGATGACAAGGGATTTGGTAAACCAGATAATTTTGCTCAGTTGCATCGATACGATGTATTAACCTACAAAGCTTGTTTCCAAGACGGTTTGTTGGCTCAAATGCGTCTACTGTGTTACCATACAAGGAAGGTACCTCATAAGTATTCGGAAGAATTTTCAGTAAGGCTGCGATTAAGGTGGCATTTGAACCAACAAACCGTCTTGGAAACAAGCTTTGTAGGTTAATACATCGTATCGATGCAACTGAGCAAAATTATCTGGTTTACCAAATCCCTTGTCATCATTGTGAGGTCAAATACACAGGTGAGAGTAGTCGACCAGGGTCGATTAGAGTAACTAACAGAGCACAAAAAGTTAGCTGAATCAAGATTAGTAGTTTCTGATATGATAAGAAATCTAGAGAAAAGTTCTGCACGTAATTACACACAATCACACAGTAGGGTGGAATAGAGCCACAGTGTTGAAAACTAACTTAGTTGGGTGGAGGGAGAGATTGATAACCGAATCTTTGTTTGTCGAATCAATACGAAATACATGCAATAGAAATGATTCTGCACCTGTCCCAGATATATGGAAAATTCGACTACCCTTGTCATCACAGAGAAGGAGAGAAAATTAGGAATATATAAACTGTCTCGAAGTTGTGGAGTTACCTGACCTGATATGAATATGGACAATAAACTGTGTCCGAAATGCTATCCGGTAAATGATACTGTTTCACTGTATGATATTTCTAATAAACAGACTCAAATGGAATTCCAATCGACCACAGTGCCCAAGTTCTACTCTTATATTAATGAAACATATATTGTTCCTGAACGGTGGACATTGATAGACCATGTCGCCATCATTTATTATTGACGAGGGACACTGGAAGATTGCCATTCATTCCACAACAGTTGTTTGAACAGTGATTATGTGTTGTTTCTAGCACGTGTATGCCCGCATCTACATGGATATAGAAAAGCCACAGCAGTAAAATCATTCTGAGCTCAACTCGACAACGAGAACATTCTGGCTGCTTCCAATGAGGAACTGGCTAGTCAGATATATCAGAACAGGACAATTTCACTCATCCAGAACACGGTTGCAGTCGTCGTTTTAAGTCTACTGAAGAAACAGTCTGACATGGACCGTAACTGGTTATCAGAAAAAAGTTAAAAGGGTCAGTGGGTCTCTGCAGCTTCTTCTCAATTATTCAATCCATTTGAGCGTATTCTTCAAGGCTCCCACCACAATGTGGAGCACAAGCAACTCAAGTGTAGACTGACCGGAAGTTTATGCAATAACCACGATCACTGGTGGGTGTTGAAGACTAGTGAGGTGGAGAAGGGAGTGATAACAGGTAACAGTTGACAGCTATTGACACTCATCATGGAGAATGGGGCGAGAATGTCAATGGTTAGTGAAACTACACCGAAGGAGAATGAGCCTGTGAATGACTCACACAGGAGATGACTGGGACAACAGAAAAAACATTTCAAGGAACGAGTCAACTGACCTGCAGTTCACATACTGTTTGCCACTATCCAACCTGATCCTGAATGGGACATTGAGATGATGCCCATTACTCTTGTGGAAGTAAAGAAATTTACAAGCAACCCAAAATGAGCAGAG